AAAATCACCAAAACAAACGCACTGTCTATTCACTCCGGTTCTATTCATGGAGCTGTTAACCCTCAAGCCATAGCGAGAGGAAGAGGCGTTATACAACGGTACGATATGTTGGGCTCTAGTCTGGCAGCAAATATTTTTTTTTTTATTCGTAATCCATACAATTACAGATATGACTATATTTTCCGTAAGGCACTAATAGATGACTATAATTTCGTCGAAATCTTTAGTACATCTTTGTTTTTCTTTTCCTGAAAAAAACTGTACTAAGGAGAGATGCTATGCTAATTATGATAACGATAGCAATAATGATGATCAGCACTTTTGGAGGGTAACAGCTCACAAGCATAGGACTGCACTTATTACTGTCACGCCCCGTTTCACCAGAGTATCCTTGCATCTGCTGTTGGGGGTTGTTTGCGGGCTGCTTCTCTCTAGTAATGTCATTTATCTCTTCACTGGCGATTTTCTGGTCACCTGGGAAATGTTACATGACGGTAAAATGAGAAAATTAGAAGAGGATGCAGGGTCTGATCTTGTATGTTCTCTGCCTTCTTTCTGAGGTTTAGCAAGATGCCTCTGCCTCTGGGATATTTACGTCTGATGAAAGAATTAATTGCATAGGCAGCCTCAGCCTCGAGAAATTCAGGGCTGCAATCCTCAGTGATCTGAGGAAGAAGCCAGTTACATCCACAAATTTTGTTTTATTACTGTAGGCGGGGTAAGAGTGAAGATAATCGTCTTTATTAGTAGGCTTTCTGTAAACATAAAAACGTAGGGCGTCGTCACCTTGATGGATCTAACGTTGCCTGTGTAATCAATTTTATTCACGAAACATAAATATCCCAGAGGATTCCTGCAAAACCCCCGAAAGAAGGCGGAGAACACATTTCAAGATCAGACCCAGCACCCTCTTCCCAGTCATCATAGTAAGCTTACTGAGGTTAACGTTATCATAGATTCCAATTTATGATGGATACCTTCATATTCCCGTTCAACGATGTTAGTGATCTTGAATTATGTAATACTTTCCATTATACAACATCCTTGGATAACTTGGAAAAAGTAAATTACTATAATTTCCCACCAAGTGCCTCTGATGTCACAAATCAAACTGACCCAGACATATTTCTCAGGTCTAATTTAGGCCTCGATAATCCATTCTGCAAATACTATTTCATTGATTCTCAACTCAGCAATGTCCTCCAGCTGTCTAAAAATGTGATATCTGTTATGAGTCTAAACATTAACAGCATCCCTCTCCATCTCGATACATTCATAGACCAATGCTTACATCCACTGAACTTCAACTTTGATATCTTGTCCTTCTGTGAAACCAAATTAACTACAGATATACAACATCTCTTTAATGTACCTAATTACAATGCCTATACCAACAATTTTTCCCGCCAAAGTGGGGGTGTGGCCTTGTATGTGAGGGACTGTCATGATTCGCAACTACGACCAGAGTTGAGTATTATGGAGCATTGCTTAGAAACTCTTTTTATAGAAATTAAACATCAGGAGGTAAATCTGGTGGTCGGCGTAGTTTACAGACGACCTCACACGGATTTTAAACACTTCCTTGACAAAATGAAAGAAATAATAGAAGTAATTAGCGAAGAAAACAAACATTGTATTATTACAGGTGATTTTAATGTAGATTTATTGAAGAATATATCAGATGCTAATGTTCAAGACTTCATAGCCCTATTCAATTCAAAATTGTTTTTTACGTTTGTCACCAAACCTACACGAGTGAGTCCCACGTCGGCCACGCTGATAGATCACATTTGGACTAACCAACTATCCAACCATGTAACAAGCGGTGTCATCCACAAAACCATCTCTGACCACTTCCCCATCTTTTCAACTTTCAAAACCCGCCTGAATCGGGAAACAAGGAGGGAAATAAATATAACCTACAGGGATTTTAACGAAGGCAGAATTGATCAATTTAGGGATTCCCTAAATAATGTGTGCTGGGATTTAGTTTAGTGTACGATAACTTTATCACCATTTTTTCAGCAGGGTATTTGCAAAACGGCCTATTACATATGGAGATCAGTTCAGACGCGCGCGTAATCATCTCACCAAAGTGATTCGCTCTGCCCGCAGCAAATACTATACAGAAAAATTAAAGGCTAACTCAAATAACTGCAGGAACACATGGAAGATCGTCAATTCAATTCTGAACAGAGATAATAAATCTCAGAATCAAACGATAGAAGTAGAGGAAGACCAGTCTCGAGATTCTACTCAAATTCCTCACTATATCAATAATTATTTCGTTAATGTTACAAATAACTTAATTAACAATGTCCCCCATCCATTCTATAGTTTCATGAATTTCATGGGGCCTTCGCACAACACAAATCTATCTTTAAATCCCGTAACTGAAACCGAACTCTCTGAAGTAGTAAATCAACTGAACAACTCTGCCCCCGGTTATGATGGCATCACAGCGCCAATAATTAAATACACTTTGCCTGCCATTTCCCGTCCCCTGCTCCACTTGTGCAACACTTCACTTACTACGGGTATATACCCAGACAAACTCAAGACAGCAAAGGTTACTCCAGTTCACAAATCAGGTTGCAAGACCAATGTTTACAACTACAGACCAGTATCAGTTCTGCCCGTAATAAGTAAAATTCTGGAAAAAAATAATTTATATCAGATTGGAAAATTATCTCATACGCAACAGTATTCTGTCAGATTGCCAATTTGGATTTACGAGGAATAAATCAACAGAAATGGCTGTTATGTCATTTACAAACCATATCTACAAGGCCTTTGATAATAACGAATTCACTGTTGCTGTATGCCTAGATTTATCTAAGGCTTTTGATACGGTTAACCACCCAATTCTGCTCTCAAAACTATCTCATTATGGTATCAGGGGCTCTGCAAACCGCTTGTTTCGTTCATATCTGTCTAACAGAAATCAATTTGTTTCATATAATGGATCCAATTCAGATTGCCTTCCATTATCTTATGGTGTACCACAAGGGTCACTGTTAGGGCCTCTTCTTTTCCTGATCTACATCAATGATTTGGTGAAAACATCCTCGTATCTGGAATTCATCTTATATGCTGATGACTCTATGTTTCAGGTAAAGATATTAATCAACTCATTAGTAACATCAATAGAGAACTGAGCACTATCAGTAATTGGATTTCTTCAAACAAACTAACGGTAAACATTGTTAAATCCCATTATGTCATATTTAATCGCAATAAGAAATTTCCCCCTATACTTCTGCCTTTAATATTAGAACATAAACCCTTATCAAGTAAAACCGAAACTAAATTTCTCGGAGTAATCATTGATGATAAATTATCGTGGAAAAGTCATACGAACAGTAATTAATAAACAGTGTGGTATCTTGTACCATACTCTTGATTTTTTCACAATGAATGCCCGTAAATGCATATATTTTTCATTAATCTAACCACATCTAACATACGGCAATACTGTCTGGGGAGCTGTCAATGAAACCACGCTAAAACCCGTTATAACTGCCCAAAATCCGAACCATTGCTGGATTAGGCAAATATGACCATACCAATGAGGCATTTTCTACACTGAAACTATTGAAGCTGAGAAATATAAATACCTACTTCTGTGCTCTCTTCATTTTTAAATGTATCAATATATACGAAAATAACTTATTTCGGTTCAAAAATGATTTAATATATCCTCTGCGATCAAGCTCACTATTAAAGCACCCAACTATAGGCTCAAACCAATCAAAAACAATGGGGTAAGTGCATGGAATAATCTGCCCTCGCATCTCCACAATGCTCCGTCACTCAAAAAATCGTTGAAGACCCACCTATTACATATGTCAGAGTGAATGCTAATGTTTAGGACAAATGTAAAAAGTAGTTTGAATACGTATATATACAGGTACATAACAGCGGGTATTCATGCATCTGTACGAAGGTTTACATAAGTGTACAATGTATCTATGTAATACATTTATAAATATATGTGTATGTGCACATGCAAATGCATGTAAGGTTAATATAAGTATATTTGTGTGTGTGTGTGTATATATATGTGTGTGAGTGTGTATGTATGTACATGTATATATATGTATATGTGTATAAGTATATTCATATGTATACGTATGTGTGTATTTATGTATATGTATGTGTATAGGTATGTATGTTTATTGTGTGTGTGTATATATTTAAACTGTATATCTATGTATGTTGATGTATGTAGGTATGTATATAGGTGTGTATATTTGTATATATAGATATGATCTTGTGCAATATATTATTTTAGTGTTTTTTTATGAATTAAATAATTTTTTATTACAACTTAGTCCGATCTACTAGTCTACTAGTCTGTCCTGTGTTATGTGTATGTGTGTATTTAGACATAATCTTGTGCAATATATTATTTTAGTATTTAGTTTTTTTATGAATATAATTATTTTTTTGTTACAACTTAGTCCGATCTACTAGTCTGTCTTTTGTTATATATAGCATATTGTATATTTTCACCTTTTTACTGTTATCGTCTTCAATCCACCTGCGAGTGGATTGACAGAATCTAAGAATTTAATACACATCAATTCCCTTATAATAAGGTGCCTCCTTAAGAGAACTTGTGTTCTTAGGAGGCTCAGCCATTCTATTGTTATTTTGTGTATATCAAACTGTTTTTATGTATATTGGCTAAATAAACGTTATCAATCAATCAATCAATGTTACCGCCATGTAACATTTGAGCTTCGGCAGGGTTGAGATTTGCGGCCTGACAGAGCCGTCTTCGATCGACTTGTAGCGTGGTTCTCTACCTCATGTGGTAAATATTCAGGGAGTCCTCTCTTTACAGCTCTAATATTTCCTCACTCATGGACTGATTCGGAAGAGGACCGCTTTTAAATTTATTTAATTTTGATATAATTTAATTTATCTTATTTTTAGTCTTATTTACTTTTTTTTCCATCTTCAAAAATAATGCAAAAGGATAAAAAAAAATAAAATGAGCAACAACAGTTACTGCTTAACTTTATTAAAAAAAACTGCTTAGTATAAAGTGTTATCTACCGGTAATGATTAATAAATGCGCTTTTTCATATACACAAAATATTCATTTACTACTCATATTCTGCTTTGGGTATGATCAATATTCCCGATGATATATCACGTTCAAAATAATGCCACGGCCTTTCATGCACAAAAAAAAAAAAAAAAAAAATGCAAATCTAAAATCTACATATCACGTTATTAATCACTGATAACATACTCCTCATGAAGCCAAATGAAAAGTTAACCTAGTAATCCCACTTTCACTCTTTGGCAATGGGCGTCAGGGTGACAAACACGTCCTCCTTCGGCCTCATAATCCCGGGGTTTAAGCTCAGCTCCAGCTCCTCGTGGCCGGGGGCGCACCGCAGCTCGAACTCCAGCACGGTCCTCGCCAGGGCCAGCTTCGCCTCCATCAGAGCAAACCGCATGGCTGGTGCGGAAGGAGAAGGAATCCTTGAAATCTGATGCACGTTATAATACTGTACATATATGACTTTTGGTGTGTATATACTTCTTAGATGCACCAATCATATGAATATTTATATGTATGTAAGCATATTATGATATAAATATACACGCAAATATATATATATATATATATATATATATATATATATATATATATATATATATATATATATATATAATACAGCAAAGAACAGCGTCAGTAGGCCTATACACATGCAATAATACTGTGAGTGTGTGTGTGTGTGGGGGGGGGGGGGGGGTATTTAAAAGGATTGCCTTACTTCATAGAAGGGCTGCAGTCCACCCCATCATGTGTGTGTGTGTTTGTATATATATATATATATATATATATATATATATATATATATATATATATATATGTATATATATATATATATATATATATATTATATATTATATATTATATATATATATATATATATATATATATATATATATATATATATATATATATATATATATATATATATATATATATATATATATATGGGTTTGGTGTGAGGGCGAAGGCCCCAATTGTAGCATTTTGATAAAGTATTATGGCTAATAGGGTAAAAAGGAGTTAACTAGAATTAGAATTAGAATTAGTGGACAGAAGAAGGGAGAGAAGGAAAAGGAAAGGGGGAGGAGAAAATACCATGTAAAATTTGTTGAGGCGAGGGCTGGGGTCCAAGGCAGGGGTGATCTCCTACATGAGCCCCACCACGACAACAACAAACAAAGGATTGGGGATATATATATATATATATATATATATATATATATATATATATATATATATATATATATATATATATATATATATAACACAGACACAGACATAGACACACACACACACACACACACACACACACAGTTTGATGCATTAAATCAAAACAAGAAATGAAACTGTCAGTAAGCCTACGTTCATTAACAATTTTACTTAAATAATTGAAGTTGATCAATCAGGAGGTTACGGACACGTACATACATACATACCTGAAACTGATATTGAACTGTCACTGACTTATTTTGAATGAAAGCCCTTTGTGAGATGGTTGACAGTACTTCATATGAAGCCTAACATAGTGAATTTAAAGATACCTTACCTATGCAGTTTCTGGGACCGAGGCCAAAGGGAAGGTAAGTCCCACTCACAATCCTGTCCTTATTCTCAGGGAAGAAGCGCGTTGGGTCGAACTTCTCAGGTTCTGTCCAGTACTTCTGATCGTGGTGGAGGCTCCAGATTGGGACTGATATTATTTGACCTTTGGTGAGGAGAAGGTCTGTTCCCGGAAGGCTGTCGATACAGAAATGAAAGATTGCCGAATTAACTTTCCCTGAGAATCATTCCCTCTCCTAGGACTCCTCTTATTTACTAGGTGGTATCCCAATTTGAGTTTTTTACATTCAGAAAAGATATGCAGTAACATATGGACAAAAATATAGACTTGAAGAACTAGCACCCCTGATAAAAGCAAAAAAGTACACAACACAAAAGGATTCTGAAAGAACTATACATAAATCAGTATGTTAACTTACATATAATCCTTAGTGCAAGATCTTTCAGTCACATGAGCTGGTGGGTAAATTCTCAAGGCCTCTGAAAGGAAAACAAATAAAGAGACCCTCTCTATCTGAATTCATGTGTTCATTTATCAACATAAAAGAATCACTGTCCACACTCCATCTAGTCATTTAGTGGCAGGCTTTCTCTCTTACCTGATATACAGCCATCCAGGTACTTGGCCTCCATAATCGCCTGGTAAGTGAGAGACCCGTGCTCTGCAATCAGATTCCTCAGCTCTTCGCGAAGAAGTTCCTGCTCCTTGGTGTGTTTAGCTAAGAGGAAGGATGTGTTGCCGAGGGTGTTGGCTGTGGTGTCGTACCCGGCAATTATGAAGAGGACTGAAGATGCTATGATGGTTTCGTCACTCAAAGCTGTATGATATTTTTTGTTATATTTAGAAAAAACTGGCTCAGATGGATAATAAGACCAAAGTTATTAAGTATATGAATGCAACGGCATTGTTTTAGATATTATAAGATGTGCATTCAGTCTCATATTACTGTGCAGTATGAATGAATTTATCGATTTAGTTTACTCAGCTGCACTGGCACATTCACAGCATTACTATGATTTGTCTTCAGTCACATAGACATAATATAAATGAGATAATCAATAATGTACACGATTAATCCAAATATTGCACAGGATCCCTAGATATCACCCAAAAGAGGCAGCGAATGCACTTACGATACTTGGGTTTCTTTTTGTCAGTACTTTGATCTTGATCTTCTCTGGCCTCCAGCATTATGTCTAAGAAGTCTCCTCTCTTCGCACCTGCCTTTCTCTGCTTCATTGTCTCAATTACAACATCATTGAAAAATTCCATGTTTTCATGTGTTAACTGAATATTTAGAAGTCTTCCAAGCTTGGGAAACATAAGAAGGAACATAAATTTCACAAGCCTTAGAGGCTTAATTGCAAACAGTTCTATGGCTTTTTTGGCAAAGATGCTATCGTCTCCTGCAAATGAATTTGTCTCCAAGCCAAAGGCACATGATGATATGACCTCCATCGTGTACATACCAAAGCTGTTCTTCATGCGCACTACTGGGTCCTTTTTCAGCTGTCTGTAGAGGTAATCAATTAAACCCTGGGCTTTGGCTTCTATTAAAGGGAACATGCCCTTCATCCGCCCTGACGTGAAACTAGTAGACAGAACTGACCGAATGCCCTTCCAGTGTTCACCTGTGGTTGCGGTTAACATTTCATTTATAACTTTATCTTTGGGATTAGATGACCTAAAAGACCGCCGATCAGTGAAATGGTCGAAATCCTTAATCAGAACAGCCTTCACCAAATCAGGATCACCAATCATAAGGCTTGGTTTGTGCATCTCATACTGGCCACAGTACAATGAGCCTCCATAATTATGGTACATCTGAAACAGAAATGGAATAGTGTCAAGAGGTTGGGCTTCCCTGACCTTTGGATGAATGAACTGATTATCATGGCTAAAATCAGGGTCTGGCTGCATCTCAACTCTCATGGAGCAATCATGAAGAGGAAGCACAAGATATGAACCATGCAGATTCCCTGATCTGTACCATGTTTTCGTTATTTTACATTCCTGTATTTTCAGTAGATCTTACTAAATTTTTGCTATCCTAGTTACTGATGTTGGAGCTGCTAGACAATTCATTCATAAAAAAATAGTTCTTTTCTGATTGCCTCACAAATCATAAAAGGAATAATTCAGAGGGTTTAAACTTTGTGTTTCTACTGCTGTTTTTTACCCTATTTTCTGTCATGGAGACCGCCTACATCACCAAGAGCTTGTTTACGACCACCTTTCAGGGGCAGAAGAGGAACTCACCTCATCAACGACCAGCCACCGATACTTGCTCCTGGAGAACAACTTGAACGTGTGTCCAAAGAAAGGGATGGAGCCGGGTGCTGTCGGCACGCCTCTCGAGGACCAGTAGCTATGGCGCCATCGGGAGTACAGCAGCGCCGTCACCACCAGCACCGCCACCAGCGCCCACGTGATCATGTTTTACCTGCGATGCCAAGCTTCATTAAACTTTGACACACGACATACAGAAAACAAACCACCATGTATCACTCCCATCTAACCTGTATTGATGATTGCACATGTGTAAACGAGTATGGAGAGGAAGGGATGACTAATGATGATATGGACAAAGGTACACATAAAAGGAAGAAGAAAAAAAAATTGTAATGTAAAGGAAAGAACTTCAAAAGATATCTAATGCCATGACAAAGCAGAGGTAGGTTGGGATGTGGTTCATCAAAGCTATGGGGTGGAGCTGGTAGAACCTCATCAGTACCATAGTATACTCCATTTACCCCTACTATATAATAAACACAGACACACACACACGCATATTTATAAAGTCCATTTCACCCTCAACAGGCGATTTACATTGCCTAATGAGCCAACAGCAGTGTATGTGTGTGGGTGAGTGTGAGGTAAGTGGGTGGGTTTGAGTTGATAATGGGTTTGTGTGTGGGGAATAGCCTGAAACACTTCATACGCACTTTCATTCAAAATCACATACCACAAACAATACCTTCAAGTAGGTACACACTCTCCTGGTTCTCCATCGGGCTACAAACGATCATGTGAATCTGAACTCATTGTTTCTCATCATGACATTTCCAGACTGCTAGACAAGTGATGTTAAACAGATGAATGCTGTAGTGATAAACTTCAACAAAGCCTTTGACAAAGTCCCCCACAAATGACTGACACAAAACTACAGTTATACGGAACCACTGGACAAACTCTTCACTGGATTGCAGCTTTTCTAACAGGGCTCAACAGGTTTCTTTGACTATAGGCCTTTTATGTAACATTTCCGAACCCCTTAACACTTTGATACACTCTGATGCATGTTTGCCCTTTATACGTACATTATTAGAACCTGCTGAAAAATCTTTTCATTTTGTATCCAAGTGTTTGCCTCCAACTTGATACGGCTTGATACTCCGGCCGGCCAATCAGAGCACGATAATTTTCAGATATAGTTCACATAGTCTCAGACAAGAATTTATATTATCATTAATCGCATCGTAAGTTTCTTGACGTATTTTTAAAAATTGATTCTGTGCCTTTTTAGCTGTACATCACTCTATATGGGTAAGATTTAAAGTTAATCAGGACGGTAAGTGGAACATGGTGAGGATTTCCAATGCGTCCAAGTCATATGACATGGTACTGACTTCGGTGGGATGAATGTCTTCAAAATCATTCTGTACGTCTATGATATAATTTTACATGCTCAAAAATATTAAAGAAAATGCTGTGTATCCTAATTTGTTGATATACTTCAATCAATAAATTAAGTAAATATCCATGATCATTGGAATTATGCAGTTGTCTGATTAGGACACGAACTCACTCACGGTACATTATTATTATAATTAATATTATTAATATTTTTTATAACCAACCATAAAGATTGGACCGAGTTTTGCAATAGCAACCTATCAGTTGTCCTTCAATTTTGTTAAATGGCCCCTCCAGGAGGCGCTGCATTCTCCGAGAAAATCTGGTAGAACTGGAGGCGCTGCATTCTCCGAGAAAATCTGGTAGAACTGGAGGTGCTGCCCCCCCCCCCCCCCCCCCCGACTGAATTCCGGGGCCAGACTATCCCCCTCTTCAGGAGTCGCCGACCGCTGCCGATGACGACGTTGGCGTACGTCGCTACTGGCTTTCCAGTAGGCGTGGCATGGAGGCCAATGGCCAGTAATCAGCTTCCCACAGATCGGAATACGGTCGGCCCCATCTGACAACCCCGGAGGCCGGGATGGGGGGCAAAAAACAGGGCCGACTACAGGTCCGGCGGCGGGCAGCTCACTCTCCGCCGTCCTTACTCGAAGGAATAGGCCCCCAAAGAAGGCCCACCGGCCGCATCGGTGAGACGTCTCCCCGCAATCGAAGCAGTTGGCATTATGGTCGCCCTCTTTGCGTGGATCGGTGGCAGCAACTAGCGTCTCAGTGTTGTCTTCTTAGGAGAGGTGTTGGTGCTTCGGCTGCCGGGAGAGATCTGTTGCGGTGCATACATGAGATCCAAAATCTTATGCAACTCCCACTTTTCATTAAGTACAAGATATGTAATAGGAAAAAGATATACTGAGTGAATCTGAGAAATGCATTTGAACTTTCCTCAGGTTTGCATTGTGAAGAGTGCTGTGTATAAACAATATAAATTTCAGAATATTCAGTTAATTTTTCCATTTTACATCTATATATACATATATATAGATATATATATATATGTATACACACATATACATATATATACACATATGTACATATACACATACATATATGCATATATACATATACACATATATGTACATATACATATACACATATATATGCATATATACACATACATATATATATATATATGTGTATATATATCTTTATATATGTGTGTATATATATATATATATATATAAATATATATATAATGTATATACACACAAACATATACACATCTACATATATATACATATATACATACACATGGCGAATTTCTAAGCAGGCCCTCGGCCCAATTCTAACTCAGGTCTGGTTGAGCTGCCCAAGCCATGATCTCCTGGGTCGTCCCACGGGCCTTTTCCACCAAGGATTGTCTCGCAAAGAGAAAACCTGAGAGGCAGGGTCGTCCACAGGGAAACGAGCTAGGTGTTCATATAGCTTGAGTTGGCGATCCTAAATTATGCAAGTAGCAGGTCCCATGCCCGTCTTGCGGTGTAGCTGTCGGTTGGACACATGGTCCTGCCAACTGTACAACATGATCCAATGAAGAGACTTACTACAAAAGGCATCAAGACGAGACTGGAAGACACTAGACAGCGTCCAGATTTTGCATTTTGTCAAATGCCTTCTTGATATATGTTGCAAGCAACCCACAATGGGGCCCAACGTCCGCCTGTTAGGTTCCCTTGGGCTTTGCCCCACAAGCCAAGGGTTGGTGCCTGCCAGGGCGCAGGCGGGACGAGTAACTCTCGTTCCCATCCTGCGCCCCAGCATTTGCCCTCCCTACGAGACCCACAACCCCCTCACTTGCTGGGCAGCCCCCCTCCCCCCGGCATATCCTGGGGGTAGTTTCCTAGGGGGAGGTGGGCTGGCAAGGTCCACCTCCCCCGAGCCGCCCATTAACCCTAGGGTGGCTGAGGGGCAGGAGTTGGTACGGAGGCTGGGCGTGTCCACACGCCTGTGGGCCATGGTTCTGTACTCTGGGGCCTCCTGCTGTTCCGAGATCCCCCACAGTTTAGCCTGGGACCGCAAGGTGGCCAGTTTCCATGGGTGGCCATAAGTAGGCACTGCAGAGGTTTTGATGACGGAGAGGCTGTGGACTAGCAGGGGAAGCTTATGCATAGCTGTTCCCTTTTTCATATTAGGCAAGCCAGCGGTGGCAGCTTCAAGTGAGAAGGCATGCAAGCACTTAACACTACCCTACCAAACCATCGCTTCACATCACCCTGATCATGAAGCACCCACACATATTATATATATATATATATATATATATATATATATATATATATATATATATATATATATATATATGTATATATACATATATTGTCACGCTTTACTCAAAAAATTATTTATATTCTGGGTATTTAGTTATAGAAGTTATATATTCATCACTTACTCGAGGAATAAGTGATTTCATATGCATTCCATTAATATGGAATATATTCGTAACTCTTTAGCTCGAGGTATTATTTTATGAGCAATAACGTTTGTTCAGGAAATTCTTATGAAGTATATTTTCTTACTTTCCATATAATTAGTGTGATTGTAATACTAACTTATTTATCATTTTAAGGTCTGTAATATTACTTTCTTCTAGTTTTATCCTTGTTTATTGAGAAGGGAAACTGCGAGCCACTGATAGAAATAAGTGGAAACAAATGCACTGAATAACTTCATTTATTATTTATATATTCACTTAGCACACAATACATTGTTCAATGGATGATGCCCTACATTCATACCACTCACTCACCTTCCGCATTACAGGTTAATCCTAACCCTAGATTATAGAACAGCATTACTAACAGTCACTTCAAAATAGTCACTTCACCAATAGTCATTTCACTCACTCACGTATTTCGCACTGCACGTTTTAGTTTAGCACTTCAATGTAGTTTTATAACTTATCAGATAAGAATATCAATGATATTTAGTATATAACTGAATATCTTTCCAAGGAATTAGCGGTAAACAAGAGTCGAGAGCACGTCTTTTCCAACCGGTGGTGAACAGCGATCTCCTTACCTTACGGCATGTTAGGCCTAAGACACCTGCTACAACCAATAGCAGCGGGAATATTTGCATATGCGAACAAGCATACCCACCACCTAATCTTTCATTCAGCAGTCACACCTCTCATTCGCTAGTGTTTATACTTCTGTATATAGGAGAATTATATTTATCTACATACGGTTACGTTAATTAGTTTTAATTATCGTGACATATATATATATATATATATATATATATATATATATATATGTATATATATGTATATATATATATATATATATATATATATATATATATATGTATATATATGTATATATATATATATATATATATATATATGTATATATATATATATATATACATATATATTCATATATATATATTCATATTTATATTTATGCATGTAAAAACATATGTATTTATACATATATACATATCCACACACACACACACACACACACACACACATATATATATATATATATATATATATATATATATATATATATATATATACATATATATATACATACATATATATATATATATATATATATATATATATATATATATATATATATACATACATATATATATATATATATATATATATATATATATATATATATATATATATATACATACATATATATATATATATATATATATATATATATATATATATATATATATATATATATATATATATATATGTATGTAAATATACCCTCAAATCATTCCCTCCCCCCTCCCACATACTCATCCCAAAATCCATATTGGCTTTTTCCCCCTGAACTGCTGAAAATTGCTTTGCCGCCTGAAACATAAATCATATTCATTGTACCAATAACATTTTGAAAAAAAACAAAACAAAACAAAAACAAAACAAAAAAAATACACAATAATAATAAAATAAAGATCACCATCACCAATAATAACTAATAACAGTAATAATAATAATCTAATAAACAGAATAAGAGGCTTTCTGAGCACACAAAACAATCACTTGTTCAATGCTGACTGGCCAAGGTGTTAAGTATGAAGAATAAAGAACTTCTTACCTGTAAAAATATATGTAAGCTTATAAGCAAACAAATCTCGAAAGAGCACTGAAGAAAAATCGAGGTTTCGAGATATATATGTCAACTTAACATC